GACATGCCAGTGCACAATTTAATCTTGCTCTATGTTATGCCAATGGAACTGGAGTAGAAAAGGATGATCAGAAGGCAGTTGAATTTTATGAAAAAGCTGCTGAACAAGGAAATGTTGATGCACAATTTAATCTTGGTGTGTGTTATGAGAATGGAACTGGAACAGAAAAAGATCAACAGAAGGCAATTGAATTGTATCAAAAAGCTGCTGAACAAGGGCATTTTGATGCACAATTTAATCTTGCTCTATGTTATGCTTATGGAACTGGAGTAGTAAAAGATGAACAGAATACTGAACAAGGATATGCTGATACACAATATAGTCTTGCTCTATGTTATGCCAATGGAGCTGGAGTAGAAAAAAATGAACAGAAGGCAGTTGAATTATATCAAAAAGCTGCTGATCAAGGACATGTTGATGCACAATTTAATCTTGCCTTGTGTTATTATTTGGGAGCTGGAGTAGAAAAAGATGAACAGAAGGCAGCTAAGTTGTATCAAAAAGCTGCTGAACAAGGAAATGCCAGTGCACAATATTATCTTGGCTTGTGTTATGATACTGGAATTGCAGTAGAAAATGATGAACAGAAGGCAGTTGAATTGTATCAAAAAGCTGCTGAACAAGGACATGTTGATGCACAATTCAATCTTGGTATGTGTTATACTTATGGAACTGGGGTAGAAATAGATGAACAAAAGGCAGTGAAATGGTATCAAAAAGCAGCTGAACAAGGAAATGCCAGTGCACAATATTATTTAGGTATGTGTTATGCTTATGGAACCGGAGTAGTAAAAGATGAACAGAATGCAGTTGAGTTATATCAACAAGCTGCTGAACAGGGACATGCTAGTGCACAATTTAATCTTGCTGTCTGCTATGCTAATGGGACTGGAGTAGAGAAAAATGAACAAAAGGCAGTTGAATTATATCAAATAGCTGCTGAGTATGAGCAAGGAGATGCCAGTGCACAATTTAATCTTGGTGTATGTTATGCCAATGGAACTGGAGTAAAAAAAAATGAACAAAAGGCAGTTGAATTATATCAAAAAGCTGCTGAACAAGGACATCCCAGTGCACAATTTAATCTTGCTCTATGTTATGTCAATGGAACTGGAGTAGAAAAGGATGATCAAAAGGTAGTTGAATTTTATGAAAAAGCTGCTGGACAAGATGTCAATGCATTACACAATCTTGCTGTATGTTATCATTTGGGAACTGGAATAGAAAAAGATGAACAGAAGGCAGTTGAATCATATCAAAAAGCTGCTGATCAAGGACATGCTGGTGCACAATATAATCTTGGTATATGTTATGCCACTGGAACTGGGGTAGAAAAAGATGAACAGCAAGCAGTTGAATGGTATCAGAAAGCTGCTGAACAAGGATTAGCTCATGCACAACTTAATCTTGGTATATGTTATGCCAATGGAACTGGGGTAGAAAAAGACGAGCAGAAGGCAGTTGAATTTTATGAAAAAGCTGCTGAACAAGGATTAGCTTATGCACAATTTAATCTTGCTTCATGTTATGAGGATGGAATTGGAGTAGAAAAAGATGAACAAAAAGCAGTTGAATGGCATCAACAAGCAGCTGAACAAGGACATACTGATGCACAATTTAATCTTGCATTGTGTTATCATTTGGGAGCTGGAGTAGGAAAAGATGAAGAGAAGGCAGTTGAATTATATCAAAAAGCTGCTGAACAAGAAAATGCCAGTGCACAAATTAGTCTTGGTCATTGCTATCAACATGGAATTGGAGTAGAGAAAGATGCCAAAAAGGCAGTTGAATTGTATCAAAAAGCTGCTGAACAAGGAAACGTTGATGCACAATTTAATCTTGGTATGTGTTATGAGAATGGAACTGGGGTAGAAAAAAATGAACAGAAGGCAGTTGAATTATATCAAAAAGCTGCTGAACAAGGGCATTTTGATGCACAATTTAATCTTGCTCTATGTTATGCTTATGGAACTGATGTAATAAAAGATGAACAGAATGCTGCTGAACAAGGGCATGATGATGTACAATTTGATCTTGCTTTGTGTTATGCCAATGGGATTGGAGTAAAAAAAGATGAACTGAAGGCAGTTGAATGGTATCAAAAAGCTGCTGAACAAGGATTTGCTGATGCACAATTTAATCTTGGTATATGTTATGAGAATGGAACCGGGGTAGAAAAAGATGAACAGAAGGCAGTTGAATTATATCAAATAGCTGCTGAACAAGGACTTGTTAATGCACAATTTAGTCTTGCTCTATGTTATGCCAATGGAACTGGAGTAGAAAAGGATGATCAGAAGGCAGTTGAATTTTACGAAAAAGCTGCTGGACAAGATGTCAATGCACTACACAATCTTGCAGTATGTTATTATTTAGGAACTGGGATAGAAAAAGATGAACAAAAGGCAGTTCAATTATATCAAAAAGCTGCTGAACAAGGACATGCTGATGCACAATTTAATCTTGGTATATGTTATGCTACTGGAATTGGGGTAGAAAAAGATGAACAAAAGGCAGTTGGATTGTATCAAAAAGCTGCTGAACAAGGGTTAGCTCATGCACAATTTAGTCTTGCTTTATGTTATGCCAATGGAACTGGAGTAGGAAAGGATGATCAAAAGGCAGTTGAATTTTATCAAAAAGTTACTGGGCAAGATGTCAATGCACTACACAATGTTGCTCTCTGTTATGCCAATGGAACTAGAGTAGAAAAAGATGAACAAAAGGCAGTTGAATTATATCAACAAGCAGCTGAACAGGGACTTGTTGATGCACAATTTAGTCTTGCTCTGTGTTATGCCAATGGAATTGGAGTAGAAATAGATGAACAGAAAGCAGTTGAATTATATCAAAAAGCTGCTGAACAAGGACTTGTTGATGCACAATTTAATCTTGGTATATGTTATGAGGATGGAACTGGAGTAGAAAAAGATGAACAAAAGGCTGTTGAGTTGTATCAAAAGGCTGCTGAACAAGGACATGCTGGTGCACAATATTATCTTGCTATATGTTATGATAATGGAATTGCAACAGAAAAAGATGAACAAAAGGCAGTTGAGTTATATCAAAAAGCTGCCAAGCAAGGGTATGCCAGTGCACAATATAGTCTTGCCCTGTGTTATGCCAATGGAACTGGAGTAGAAAAAGATAAACAGAAGGCATTTGAATTATATAAAAAAGCTGCTGAACAAGGACATCCCAGTGCACAATTTAATCTTGCTGTATGTTATCATTTTAGAATTGGTATTGGGGTAGAAAAAGAAGATAAACAAAAAGCAGTTGAATTGTATCAAAAAGCTGCTGAACAAGGACATGCTGGTGCACAATATAATCTTGCTGTCTGCTATGCCAATGGAACTGGAGTAGAAAAAAATAAACAGAAGGCAGTTGAATTTTATCAAAAAGCTGCTGAACAAGGACATACTAGTGCACAACACAATCTTGCCTCATGTTATGAGGATGGAACTGGGGTAGAAAAAGATGAACAAAAAGCAGTTGAATGGCATCAAAAAGCTGCTGAACAAGGACATGCTGGTGCACAATATAATCTTGGTGTATATTATACCAATGGAACTGGTGTAGAAAAAGATGAACAGAAGGCAATTGAATTATATCAAAAAGCTGCTGAACAAGGACTTGTTGATGCACAATTTAGTCTTGCTCTGTGTTATGCCAATGGAATTGGAGTAGAAATAGATGAACAGAAAGCAGTTGAATTATATCAAGAAGCTGCTGAACAAGGACTTGTTGATGCACAATTCAATCTTGCATTGTGTTATCATTTGGGAGCTGGAGTAGAAAAAGATGAACAGAAAGCAGTTGAATTATATCAAAAAACTGCTGAACAAGGATTTGCTGATGCACAATTTAATCTTGCCTCATGTTATGAGGATGGAACCGGAGTAGAAAAAGATAATCAGAAGGCACTCAAATTATACCAGGAAGCAGTTAAAAATGCACATTCATCAGTGCAATATAACCGTGACTATGGTACACACTATTACTATAGTAGCTTTGCTAGAGTAATGAGTGGTGTCCAGAATTTAATCAGCAAGTATCAAACACTTGCTGAAAGAGGCAATGTTTATGCACAATACATACTTGGTCTGTATTATGAAAATGGAATTGGAGTAAAAGAAGACATTTCAAAAGCAACTGAATTATATGAAAGAGCAGCTGAACAAGGCTATAGTAAGGCAAAAAATAAAGTCTATACTTTTTATGAAAATGGGATTGAGGCTAAGAAAAAGATAAGAGAAAAAGTTGAGTTGTATAATAATAAGGGAGGTATAGGTAGAAAACATACTTAGCTAAATCAAATAAATATCAACAGTGTTGTTATGTATTATGTTTGATCACTTGTACTTGGGAGAGTGTTTTGTTCAATTATTGGCCATTGACAGAGTGCCATATAAACTTTTAATTAATGATGCCTTTATTTGTTTCTATCTCAGACTTTACAGCCGGCAAAGAAAATAGAGATTACTACACAAACATTAGGTGGGGCTTGAACGATTTTTTAAACCCACAATTATCGAAATAGTCGACTTCAGTTCGCCTTCTATTGACTACCCAACAGCATATAAATTTGGTTGGCATTGATATCCGCTGAAACTTCGTGTTGTTTTCCGTTTTCACTAAACCGCTTTCAGAGAAGTCACGGCACCAGATTCATGTGTACCGTTCTTGTTTGGGTATACGTAACAAAGCCTTTCAATTTGGCCGATGTCACCTGATCAAATATCATTGAAAAATTGCTGGTCTAGTTTATTGATATATACAATCATTATAAATCGAATTAACTATTGAATCGTTTAGGCTTGATTAGTAAAATACAAATTATGAATATTATTACAAATGAGCTATTAATTATTGTCAAAAATTTACAACCGCTATACTATTCTCAATCATATAATTCACATCTCCACTTGGAAAAAATGTCATTAAAACCCATCACCATCGCGCATTCGACAAGTTTCGATATATGTTCTTGTCCCGTTCTACTCTTCACGTACAGCCTTTGCAACCATCTCAAACAAATCCTCCATAAAATCCATACGATACAATAAATAGTGCTTGCCACCAGGAATAATCTTCAATTCGACATTATCCATCCGCTGACTCATGTATCTCCATGCACCTATGGGCACATCCTCATCCAAATCACCCATGAATACTTTAGCAGGATAAGTCGTCTCTTCATAAGAGAATCCCCATGGCTCTCTCTCTAAGGCAACAGTCCAATCGTTGTGCGGACCCTGCTTCCCATTCTGTATATTAGATAATGCATTCGAATATACTTCATTGTATATATAGCTCCTCCCTGGAGCGATCTGAAACGCAGAGGTAGCAGCCGCAGAATTACTCTTTTTATCATCCAAATCCATCTTATCGCTGTTTGAGGACCCGAGAGAAGCGATGGTGCCCCAAAGATTATAAAAAAACTGGCCCATTGTAGGAACGGTGTATAGTGTAGTGCGAATCAGGAAATTTGGTGCGTAACGAGCGATTGATTTTAGTTTGGACGATGCACCGGGTGTGGAGGTCGATAGCCAGGGACTGACCATGTGCATGGTGCCCCTTAGGCGTTCGGGGTACCAGAGCGAGAACGCGAAAGCATAAACAGCGCCAAGCGAGAAAGCGGCAAGACCAAATCGAGATATGCCAAGGAATAACGTGACTTCATTGATTACGTCGACAAATTCAAAGACTAGAGGAAGGCCAGGTGTGAATTGGGTTGCGTTATAGCCCTGTTGCGATGCGGGTTTGAACCATTGATGGGTAAAGTTAGTGGAAATCGTTGAAGAAAGGATGTGTAATCATTTGACAAAGACTGCAACTAACCGGCCTGTCGATAGAAATAAGTCGTATTCGGTGTCTTCTTGCAATATTTTCGTACAAGAGGATTGTCATGGCGGGTCCCATGTTTCCTATTCATTTAAAGTATGGGAAGGGAATTAGATTCTTGCATGAATTCAGTCAACATTGACAAAACTCGGTCGACAACAGAATCTCGACTTTTCCGCTCTGCTCCCCCATTGCTCTCGTTCCCTCGCCTTACTTACCAGTAAGCCATATTACGGGATTTCCATTAGGATCTCCGACTTCGCATACGCCAACCTTCCCCGAGGCCAGAGCTACAACGCGACGAGACCGAGGGTTATGTAATAGTTGTTTTGCTTGACTCAGTGTCATGTTGTGAGCAGTTTCGTCGTCGATCGTCTGCTCTAAACCCGTTATTACTTCCATGACGAATAGGTATATCTCTTTGGATTTTTTTAGATTGTGTTGAGGGTGTTGTTCTTATTCTCATGCGATAAGTTAAAAGTCGAGAATTTATAGAATCATGAGGGTATGGGTCAAAAAGTGTAGAAAAAAAGTTTCCTTCATAATAATCTGTGCATGAGATTTTATTAACATTTGTTAGCCACGAGTTTATTAGTTTATTGTCCATAACTTTTTGTGAGTGGTTGGGAAATTAATTAAGTTACATGAAACAAATAAAAACCAACCTATCATCACTTAACAAGCATATTCTGATAAGCTATATTAAGACGTATCACACGGCTAATTATAATTCGTAGATCTGAGGAAATGCGATGGGAATGTTATGATGCAAGCATAATATGGAGCGTGCTGAACATTTGACAGTCGGTCAAGCATAGCACACAGGAAAATCTAGAAAACGTAAATATGTGAATCAATCATAATAAGTGAACGAACTTTAAATTGTGAGATGACAATTGAGAATAACATTAGTAATACGTTTATATTGACGAATTTACATAAATAGATTTAGTTATGGGGAACAATATAAATATTTTCATTCCCGGAAATAACTTCTACAAAAAGGCTAAAAATCCAGAGACAATACAACTTTCCCCTGCAACTCTGCTCCTTATTTTGATAAACAAGGCAGTATCAGGAGAATGTTACTAAATGCCAAACAATCAGTCAGCCAGTTTATAAATTAATCTAGTCTCTTTTATTCCCATCTCTTATTCTTCCCCCTTTTCTTTGCCAATGCGGAATGTTATTGGCTTTATTCGAGATAAAACGACTACTAAAACTAGAAACGATTGGGGCAATATGAATAAACATTTGTCGCGTACCAAGGATAGCTTGTCAGGCAGCCATAATTGAAGGAGCAAATGTTTCTGTACCCGTTATCTTCGCAACGATCAAGTATGTCAATTACACAGCTGTATTTGACATGCGATTTAATAAGTATTGTCATACCTATGTACAAGATCAAATACCGGATTTTGTTCCCGATTGCTTATTTGTTTCCAATGTAGGTTATGTTTTTAGAGCGTGAAACAAATTAAATGCAACAGGATTAAATGCATAAATCCATTCCACGGTTATTTAAAACCTTATCATTTCTCCTAACATTCGTTGTTGTTCCAAATTGTGACAAACAACGTACGATTACATAAACGGCAAACGATGCGTGTGTGATGGGTGGGTGGGTGGTGTGTGATGTGTGATGGGTGGGTGAGTGAGCGTGGGTGTGTGAGCGTTGGTGTGTGAGCGTTGGTGTGTGAGCGTGGGTGTGTGTGGCCCTAAAATATGACGTTGACATCTCCCAGACCAGTATACGACAAATAATCGCTCAAAGCCGTTGCAATCCATGATACACTCAAGGGACAAGACAAATAATTACAAAACGTGGCTAATTATTAATTTTACAGTTTCAGTTTTAGCTCATGAACTAAAAAATCGAATAATGGGTGTTGATCTCCGATCCAAGTAAGTCTCTCTCACACATGCGCCAATTTAACAATACAACAGCTCTTACAAAGAAATAATGCAATAATAGCGTTAATAATGGGTGACGCCGCATAAAGGTGAAATCCAAACGATAACAGCGAATAATAATAATAATCATAATCATAATAAGTTGATAGTGAGGTAGGTGTTTATTTGCTTCCTACCAAGTAAAGTGGAATAATTCTGCATGTTGTAGAATAAGGTTGTAATAGAAACAATAACGACGACAACAACAGCAATAACAGCAACAATAATAATAATGCCTTAGTATGTATGGGGCATGTTGCAACAAAACCAGACAAAGTGGATATTCGATAATTGGAGTAAACAAACAAAAAGTATAACCTATTTTCACGCTTCTACTTCTCGGCTTCCTAATCGATTTGCTTCTTTTCTGGTTTCTCTTACATTCCTGAGCGACTTTAACAGAGTCTTGAGTTTGAGATAGTAATTTTGAGATATCAATAAAATACTTTTTTTGCTCTCCCTCTCTCTATATAATGACATTAAAACTTAATCGCAAATGATTTTTAATTCTTCCTTTGATTTTGATTTCTCTTTCACAAACTAGTAGTGAAGACGTTAATTTTGTTTATGTTTTTAAACTTTGATTTATTAATTGAGTATATATTATGGACAAGTAAATTTATCTCTGACAAATTAGCTTGTTATGATGCTCTTATGAGTATCCTAGTCTATAGTGAAGTACTGTTCTACAATCGAGGATAATATATTCAATGCTACGCAGAGAATCACTATCACCAAGAGACAGAGCAAACGAATAATGTATGATGCTACTATCGGTTACTTTACTACTTTCAGTGGATTTTCAGCTCATGGTGTTACACGATATTTCTTGTGGTGGACTGGTTTGGTTACGCAAAATAGGATTTTTGCGTAGGCATTTTCTCAGCGGTCTTCTCCATATCTTGATGGCTTTTACCTCAAGTACATTAGTCCATTCATTAAAGTTGATTGATATCGACCCGTCAATGAGCTAAAAGCTGTGCAACTCAGATAATCCAATAAATATATCCATCAGCAGTTATAAATTGCAACTACCACAAAAGTAACACAGTAACATGACCATAATCTGTAATAGTAACGACAATCTTGTGACCCTAACGTTGGTTTTCAAATACTCACGATGCTAGATCGATCTTTCTGTCCCTGGATTATCTATCGGATTAGCTTCGAAAGCCTATGGGTCGAGGGAGGTAACGCGTTAAATGCACCGCTGATACAGCGATAAGATACGGAAATGAACAAAATAGATTTAATATAAGCACGATTTTATTAGAATATAAAGGACTATCTAATCGCAAAGAATTATTGGCAAGAACAAATATTGAATATAATGAGGATAATGTTTGTTAAGGAAACTACAACTGCTTTCACTAAATTATTAATAATGGAATATTTCAATAAATTGGGGAAATACTGCGTTATCATAGCGACTTATCGTGATGATAAAAATATTACAGCGATAAGAAGAATAAGCATAAAACATTCTACCATCCCTTCACTTTTCTAGCAATCCCCTCTGGGCAGCGCGCCAACTCAAACTGATAATAACAATAAAAGCAATAAACCATCCATATTAAAATTTTTGAAAATTGGTAAAAAAATTTTTATCCTGTATTTAATATTACGTGAGTTCGATGTTGAAGTTCTCCTCTTAGTATTCTTTTATCGGTAGAGAAAAAAAATGCCATGCCTATATGGGTATATTTTTTAGAATGATATAAAACATCGTTTACACTTTAAGAAGTATATAGCTTACTCGCATGCATAAAGGTATTTCGTCCTCAGAAACAGGATTTATTTTAACAACTATCGCATTATATGCGCAATTAAAATCCTTTAGCCAGTAGTTTTTATGCTATCAAATATGCAACTTCTACTCTAAAATACATTATTAATGTTTTGTTCCCTGGTAAATTACCGGACGGCGACGTCTTCCATTTTGATAATTGAATATAGTTGGAGAGTTGAGAGTTGGAGAGCTAAGAGTTGGGTGAATCATGAGACGGAGAGTTGTGACTTAAACAAATGGACTTAATACTTGGACTTGTTGAATAGTTAACGCCTCTTCCAATTAGCAGAGTACGACAACAGCGTGAGTAGATAGTCCTTCTACTTTTTTCTAATCGTCCGGTTATGTCAGAACTAATGATACTGCTTCAAAACAATGTTGAACTTTGAAGTCATGGTGGAAAGAAGGAAATATTCATCCAGAAGCCAAATGAGAGGATGCTACATAAGTTTTTCATGGTGGGATCAATTATATATTAGCAAGACTAACTTGGTTTGATTACAACAAGGCTTCCGTACGTGCTCGCTGAGGGTGTAACTTTGAACGTCGCACCGACGAATTTAACGTTCATGCTTTATGGGAATGGGAAAATTTTAGAGTCTCAGTTTATGTCCTATTAGAGCCACACGAAACTTGTTTTAGCGCGATTAGTTCAGAAATAGTTGTGCAATGCATGCCCGTTAGGGGAACTGATGCCAGAATAACAAACTACTACGGAGCGTAAGCATCAATTAATTAATTATCTCAGTCCTATTCATGGTATCAAGTTAATTTTTTTAAAAAAGATGTTTCTGGAAGAGGGGCTGACGTCCAAAAAAAAAACAAACAAAAACGGGAGTGCCTGCGCCAGCCGGAAGTAATGGAAAGGTACTTTTGTTGTGTTTTTTTTTCTATTGGCTTTTATTTCTTTATATTTTTATGATTTAGAGAGAACCGTGGCCAAATATTATCGTTGAGGTCGCATATTTCGAAAGCATAGACCACGTCTTTTGAAAAATAAAAAATTACTGGCTAGGATTTTAGTCGCGCACATGATGCAATAGTAGTTAAAATTGATCCTGTTTCTGAGGACGAAATACCTTTCCGCATGCGGATAAATTATACTTTTTAAAGTGTAAGCGATATTTTATTGTCTGTATATTATTCTAAAGAATAAACCCATGTAGGCGTGGCGTTTTTGTTGCACCGACAGAAGAACACAAAGAGGAGAACTTCAACATCGAACTCATGTAATGTCAAATACAGGATAAATTATCTTTTCTACCAATTTTCAAAGTTTTTAACGTGGATGGTTTATTACCTTTATTATTAGTTTGAGTTTGGCACTCGTGATGGAGCCAGGAATCCGTTGAATATTGTGCAGGGCGCATGCCTCATTAAAATTAATTTGGCTTGTCTTTACCATCAAGCGCATCCTGATATCCAAATTCTACACACCATTCTTTCTAATCCTATTGTTCTGGATTTCTTTTTGTCAGAGACAAAATTCTCCGTGCATATAGAGAATAATAGGAGTTTAAGAAAATAAAAATAATCGTGTGGATTTAAAAATATAACAAAATATTGTCGAATTAAGATAAACTCGGAGGAAAGGATATTTTCAAAGAGTAATATTCTTATACAAACACGGTATATAAAAAAATTGTTAACAAAACCGCTAACAAAAACGCAACAGTAAAACACGCGGCTTTATGTAATAAAATTGCTAGTTGTCCAGTAGTAAATAATTGCATCATAATCATGGTTAGTATTTGACTTTAATATCATGGTCGCAGCACTGACTATTTTTAATCGATTTAAAAAGATCAATTTACTACCACTAGCACTATTATTCATAGTACCGTCTATTAATAACACTACACTACTAATGTTGTTGTTATTGCTAGTATTATTAATTATACTAATATTATTTATATCGCAACCCTCTTCGCAATTATTTGCGACGTTTAATACTACCTCCAAATTGGTAAGGACAATTGGTCGCACTTGGATACAAGTAGCTTGATGTGTAGATCTATTAGCAAATATACAACGACGAAGGATTATAATCTTAATTACAGCGCAAATATAATAAATTATACATACTTTTATAAATTAATTAATATGGATGGCGGTATAGTAATATATCTTTCTAGAGCCTGCAACGGGAGTCTTTGAATTATTGTGAGGCTTATTGCAGAGTAGCGGAACCCAGAAAGGTGAAATTCACCAAGGTCGGAATGCTTACGTATTGCAAGAGATGCCTCAGAGCTAATCTTTTTACCTATCGATAAGCAGGAGATCCATTCCCATATGTGATGTTGATGACAGTTATGTTGGAGAAAACATTACTGATTTCTTCATCACTATATGTGTCATTCAAGAAATCTAATCGTTTTGCCAGCTAAAGCGGGAAGTATATGGAGGCTTGATTGCAATATTTAGCGACTTGTTAACCGATCAGCCTGTCAATAGTGTTATAAATTGTTATCTGCCCGAGTGGCTTGCCATGGACTGCACTAGCAACACAACTGTCACGTCAGTAAGCAACATATCCCAGTTATAGGAAGCAAGTTGTATTATCAGGTGAGATTATGCCGGAAAGCCATTGAAAAAGTTGTTCGCGAGTTGATGCCATCGCATGCGTTGTAGGGGAAAAAAAGTGTCAGCAGTATTTACACGTATACCGTATTAGAAACGTTTCATAATTTGCTATTGTTGCGTCATTGCAAATTAATCCGTTCCTGCAGCAGTTGACCAATTAAAGACAATTTTTTTGAAGCGATTACATTCAAATAGAACCATTAGTATCAAATAGACAAATCAAGGCACGAATATAAAAATTTTACAAGTCGCTAAGTAGAAAAGAAAAGAAAAATGCTAAATTTGATTATTAAATTAATAAGTTCGCGTAGCATCATCATGCCGGATATGTTGAATTATTATGGGTACTTGACTTCTAAAGATGGTTTCTCTTTAAGAAGGAGAAATTTCAAAACTTACTCAAACATAAAATGCATTTGTGAGTTTTGGATAAACGCCTTAAGATTAAGATTTAATTTAGATAAAAGTTAAGTTTTTGTTTTTACTTTAGAAAAATCATTGGATGGAATTTAGTAGGCAATATTCTAGGTAGACTATCGCCGATTCGACGTCTAGTAATCTCAAATGGATTTGCCAACCCAATACTATGGAGACTGTGTTCGTACGTTAATATTATTCGTTTGAATACAAGATTCAAGATGCAAATCGCGTTTTGCGATGGGTTAACTATCAGCATACGTGAATTTTTTCTTTCACTTATCAGTTATCTCTAGTTAGTTACCTCCAAATATGGGGCTTGTTGAATTAATTATTTAGGTCAGAGCCATTTAGATAACAAATTATTACCACGTTTGAGCGGTTTTTGTGCTTTAAATTGATTGCCTCTTCGAGCTTGCGCAATTATTGCAAAAAAAAAAAGTTATACTTTATTGTTACATTGCATGATCGATAAACTGTATCAGACAATATTTAAGGACAGAAGGCATAAATGGGAGAGAAGAAGGGCGATAGAAGCAGAAACCAATTTATATTAATGTAAACCATTCTCAGTAAACGTTGTTGTGCACAGCATTTCTTTGCTTCAGAGATCTAATGCCCCTGATTTTTTAATTTAGCATGTATTCGAAATGCGTCGATGCTTCGTGTATAAGTCATTATCATATGTATTGCCCCTTATAATGAGCACGCCATGGAACTAAGGGTTTGATGTATTAGTAAATAAAATGCGGGCCCATAATAAGGATATTGTAGAACTGGAGAGTGTCAACGCTTTGCTCTCTCGAGCGCATGGCTTATCGCAAAATATGATCATCGCTCATAGATATTCTGAAATGGGTAAATTTAATGATATCCAGAAATGGTTGACCCGGATTTGAAATCGGGATCGATCATAAGAACTTTAAATGAATGTTCGCCATTATCGTTGCGGAGAGACAAATTTCAGATTTTATGTGCAGTCAAGTCAGCAGACATCTCTTTAATTATAATTAAATTAAGTGTCATAACTTTCCTACGGACATTTATTGGTAGGTTTTTCTATCTTTTTTTTTTTTTGTGTCTAGTTCATAATCTTTTTTTATCCCGCATCATTTATTATTATTATATAATATGCACAAACTTTTACCTTGGTTGATTTGATTTTAAGTTTCATGAAAGTTTAGAGAGATAAACCTTACTATTACGCAAATAACCTGCTAGTTGATCTTGGCATTATGGAAATGGCACTCGTAGCGAATATCTGATAGATATCAAAAAGGCATTTGCTTGGCCATATTATTATTATTATGACGTATATGTAGGCCAATTAACGCTGATCTGCATATTAATAGAATTGCGTAATGGTCTAACTAACTGGGGAAATGACTAATCGTAATTAGTTGGCCATTCAATGCAGAGACCAATAGTAGTAATACTAATTATTATAAATACATTTCTTGTTTCTACATTGTTGCAAAAAGTTATCGCCTACAGGTATAAAACTTTTAATAATGAGACAGTTCAACAGTTTGCTACGTAATGTTTGTAATTCTATGCATCCACTGGCGCTTCTGTCATTTACATTGCCAGATTCTTATTATATTTTTGAAACATTTCGCTTTACTATCCCTAAGTGTAATTCTCGTATGTCATATAAATTATGCTGCCTATTGTTCTTTAGATTAACCATAATTAATTTACAATTCTATCAACAGCGACTAGAAAGCTGTCTATATCCAAGATAAAGAGTCGGTTTGATGCGTAAATAGCTCGTCTGAACAAATTTGATTAGAAACAAACTCAAAGAATTCTAAAACTCGTGACATACATGTTCTTTTAGTTCTTTAATGCGAGCAAGCATGCACTGTGTGACTGATCGTTGTCTAATTGGTTAGTGCATGACATAGGATGTAAGTTTAACCTCCCTCCCCCCTTTGTGGGATATCATGTGTGCCATTCTTTGACATATGCCCTTCTCGTTATGACTATGATGCGTGCACAAAACGACACTATCAGAATCATCCTTTGTTCAGGCTGTCTATTATTTTCAAAGACATAATCGATAGCTTTGTAAAAACAGCAAGAACCAATTTTGTACTTTGTCAATTCCTTGTAGGTCAAGCATATGTAGCGTTACTATGAACCACCAACCTTTAAGGTTAAAGTAATTAGTCCTTGTTGATAAGTAATGACGCTAACTGGATATGGTAATACCGACGTGTGTAAACTTATTTGTATCCATTCAATATTGACATATTTAAACTCTCATCCGTCAACTTTTTTTTTCTACACCTCAACGTTCTTTCCTATTTCACAAACAATTCACGTGGAAGAAGCTATTCCCAGTTTTAAGATTACCTTTTGAAAAGTATTCGTGCGTAATTGTATTATATCTGTCGAACAGATATAACGAACGACTGAAGGAAACATAGAAAACGCTGGAAAGTTTTCGCCAAAAACCACCAATTTTATATACATGAATTCACTTAGTCAGGTAGGCTACAACTCGACATTGAAGCAATGTCCCGTTTATTATATGCATGGATCATGGAGAAACATTCCCTTTCTCAAATTTTACCCACTCTTCTTTTTTCTTCTTCTATATCCCTTTTCCCAATGAATCATCTCATCTTAACAGCGCAGAAAACCGTCAATCCCGCAGATCTTTCGACCGTCTCTTTTCTCTAAACATGCTCAAGTCCCAGAATATTCGCCTTCTCCATCTGAACTAACTTCAGGTTTTGAACTGAAAGCGATTGGGAATGTTTTCCGCACGAAAGATAAATACTTGTGTGGAGATATTCTCGATAATAGATTCTTCCTAATCGGAACGTCATCGGGACTAGACTTTATCGACCTGTCATTACCAACGGAAAAGCAGACTGCAAAGAGAATTATCGAAGGTGCAAGATTTAAGCAGATTAAGATTGTTAAAACTCGCAAGAATGGTTAGTTATGGAATTCAAGCATTTTACTCACGACTCGAGCACTCGTTATAACAGTCTCATCTCTTCTACAATCATATAGATGGGTTCTTACTAGCCACATGCGGTCGAAACTCACATTTGAGAAGCTATACTCTATATTCATTAAAGGTCCTAATCTTTGCACAGCTCGCTAAAGCCTCCGCTCCACCATCCGCTCATACACCCAAACATTCAAAACGCTTTTCCAATCCTTTCTCACATTCGCGACCCAGCCATTCAAAACGCGCTTCTCTCCAGCCGACGTCGCGCTGCAACCTTCCTCAAAACGAGATTAATACCCACGACTTGTATCATAATGAATATCATGCATCTCGTGACAGACACCATTTTCGCGAACATTTCATGGGGTCAACGGAGGAGGACGAGGACGAGGACGATGAGGAGTTTGTAGATGCATTGACGGGGGAAGAGTACGACGGAGAAACTGTGAGCGTAAGGGTAACAAAAGGTGTGGAAATTGTCGAGGAGATAATCAATTTTGGAAATGCAGGAAAAATGTCAGTATCAATCGATGTAAAGGCAACTACTACTATCTCGTCCCACCACCAATATGGCGCGCAGTCAAACTCTCATTCGAGACTAAACCGAGTCAGTATCTCGGCATTCCCGTTTGCTTCACGCCCAAATCCATCCTTTTCGTCTCCGCAACACGCGAAAAGATCAACAGCAGATTTTGTGAAATTACCGCATACAAAATTAACCATATCGTTCGTCGTCAGCGTAGGTGTGGCACGATCGTACGTGGCAGCATTAGCAAAACAAAATATTTTCTTGTTCGAAATGACTCACGACGAAAACAACGCAAATAAACAGCAGTGGGTACACACGAGGACCTACTGGTTGCCTAGTACGCCAGACTATTTGGAATTGGCTGTGCATGGAGAACAGTTGGCGGATATCGTCGCGGCATTTGGAAACGAGATTATTCTGATTGGAGTCGAGGACTCGAGAATTAGAGAGGTCAGTGTTGCCAACGAGCTTAGATCAAGCGATGGCGATGGCTATGGCGAGTCGGATGATGCAGAAAATTCAACACAGATATGGCGTACGTTTACCCAACTACCTTTCCTCCCCTCTGTGAATCCCGAGAATGTTTCCGATCCCTTCACTATCCCACCTTCGTACGCCCTCGCGTCCACATCGCCACCATCGTCCTTTCTACATCCAACCACTGTCTTTGACGCAACCGACGCCATTGATCTATTCTGTTCCGGACCACTGTTGTTTTTCGCCACGTTCGGATCCAGATCAATGGTTGTCGACGCCAAAGGTCGTCCGTTCTCCACTATTATATTCGAATGGTCGTTTTCGCCACTGTCGGTCTGTTTCTTCCGAGGAGGCATCGGAACCAACGACGCCTACGTCGTGGGTTTTGGAAAGGATGTAATAGAGATCAGAAGTTTTCGCACGGGATTGGTAATTGAGAATGTTGTCAGAGGTGTTGAGGTGACCTTTTTGGGAACAGGAAGAAGTGAAGAGAATGAGGTTATTTTGGCTTGTCGATTCGAAAAGGGAATAAAAGGCGTTGATCTATATAGTTTGAAAGCACCTACTAATGGGTGGTGAAGAAAGATAAGAGATAACAAATACGGAACGTATGAGTAGGGACGACTTTGTCGTTATATGCTGAAAAGTATAGATAGTTTGTGACTAGGAGTTGATTCTTTTGACAACTAATGAAATAATTGATAGAAAACAAGTTAACTTATTCTTATAATTTTTTTTTAATTACTCAGTCTGAGTTTTGTGTTTATATCTAATCAACCTAATCGATCCAACCCGTTCAGTTCAAATTAGCTAATTATATCAATTTGTAACTGACTTTTTAGTGTGTACAATATATATTTTGTAACTGCTGTGATTTTTCCTCAAGTCTTCTGGGTCCACTGCTGTTTCGTTCTTATTCACAGTCAATAACTTTGTCACACAAAGCGCGTCCAAATTTTCACTCCTTGAACCGGGTTCTGGACTTGATGGATTGCGGAGTACTTCTTAACGCGTTCTAGGCCTTTCGCTTCAAGAATGTCTTGGTCATTAAAATTCGGCTTATGCGATTGAGTAATTATCGTGTAATGGAATGTTGGACCCGATTGAAAAGCTCGCTCAATATATTAAGGAAAATGAAGATAATCTTGAACCCGAAGAGATAAATACGCTAGC